TGCTGACCCTTAGATACTGTATAATCCAACCCATCGACGGCCTGAACTTTCACTTCACGAAAAGCCTGCAGAAAAGCGGGCAGGCTAGATGGCAGGGAGGCTTGACTCGCTCCTCAAGCCGGGGAAGAGAGAGGGGAGGAAGCACACACGGAGCATGGCCATGAGTGCTCAAGGGGTCCCTGTGCTGCGAACAGACCAGCCCTTCGAGCTGAGACCTTGGCCCTGCTTCATTGTCTTGTAGGACAGCCGGGCACCCGACGGGAACCCTGCCTCGTAAGGCTTCGGAAACAATGATCGGAAACCAATCCCCGAGAGAGAGAACAACAGAGAAAGAACGCTTTTTTCAAAATTGGAGGTAGCTGTGCAGAAATTGGGATATGCGTCTGATGATTTGTTTTTGGAACGATCGGTTCTCTCACTCGGGCCCTGCCCCTGCAGCTCCCGAAGCCAGGGATGGAACAGTTCTTGGAAGCGCTGGACTGTGTAGCCACGCTCTGAGCTGGATCCAGAGCCACCGGCTTTCGCCCCCTCATGTCCAGCCCCACCAGCACCTTTCAGCACTGCCGCACAAGCTGATTCTGTGGAACAGGCCGAGAAGCGGCATTGTGAAGTCAGCGAGGTCCACAAGGCACCGACGTGCACCGGAGCCTCCGGGAACGTTCTTTCTGCAAAGCTAGACGAGTCGACTGGCACGAATGAAGAGGATGTGCCCCACGTTTCTGTCAATTTTGACGAACCCATGTACATGCCGGTAGTCCCGCTGCTACGCATCTCTTCACCGTGCAACCAGAAATGTGTGTTAATGGGAGCTATCCTGCTGATCCACCAACAGTGTGCTTTTAGTAAGACTTCCCGGTCTCAGGTTCCTACTAAACTTTTCCAAATATCATCCTACTAACACCCGACACCTCGCCAAACCCCTCAAACAACTGTGTGAGCACTCGCTTTGGATTGCGATGCGGAAGCCAAGACACGAGAGAGTGGCGGCAGGCGATAACCATAGCATTCCAGGAGGCTTCCACAAGTGTCCGAATCCCAGCTTTGGCTGCCAAGTCTTTGCATACGCCTGATGTCGTGATTCGTTGACTGACACCCATACTTGACTGAAAGAGCAGTCACGAGCCTCCTTCGAGCTCCCAGCATCCTCGGAGTTCAGAGTTCAGTCTACAAGTCTACACTGTACACCCGAGTTGCTCCAACCTTCGACCTTCCGTCCGAGTTCCGGCGCAGCTGGGGCATGTTGCCCTCATAAATCCATCGTTCTTTTCCGCTTTCCCTGTTGTGTGGAGATCAAGAATAGGCTTGTCTCACTCTTTGTATAGATCTTAAGTTAGCTCGTGTCTTGTCCTCGTTGTGCGTATGTTCTTCAGGCACCAGCTCGGCCCATGGAAGCATGACAACACGAACCGTGAGAAGTTAGGCATCCTTGTGTTCTTAGCAGGTGTCCATCCGTGTATGAGTGCATGAATTGGCAATCAACATCTTGGGTATGGGTCTGCGTCCCACTGTCGTGAGCGATTCCCGACTTTTTCGACGCCCAGGGCGGCTGGGCCAGTGTAACCGTGTCCGCCCCTGAGTGCTCTTGGTGCCTTCAGGGTTTCTGCGCTTCCCAAATCCAGACAGGGTCGATCTACATGTACCTGGATCGAGTTCGCTTGCAAGCAGTACCACCGAGAGTTGCTTTCAATCTTTCTGGGCCTCGTGCTTTGTGTTTGCAGTCGCCTTGTACCAGGCAGCCTGCTTGCTTGCTCCCTGCCTTATTGCCTGCGGAAAACGAAGCCCCACCGGACCCTACCTGTAGCCATTTCGGCTCGGGAACGCGTAATCCTGACATGTTTTTGGATGCGCAGCCGATTTTCCGCTGCAACATGCTTCTGTCTGTAGCTTGTGCCATGACCGTTTTGACATGTTTGAATGCAGAGTTCGTGTTTGTTCGCGAGGTACAATCTGGACTTTGCGTGGAAGTGTCTGGCTCAAGAGACACTGACAGTCCCTTACGCCTGTTGGACTGTGAGTTCGGGGTCCAGAACTCGAAACAGGTGTGGTACTTACAAGATTGCGAGTTCTTGAGCGTGTGGAGCCAGCTCTGCGCAGACGTTTATTCGTGGGGAATCGGTCTTTGGCCGTGCCGGTCTCCAGCTGATCCGTCGACAAGCCAAGTGTGGCAAGTGAATGGCGGAGTGGTTGTCAACACATATTGGGGGACATGCTTAACACCGCCGGCGAGAGGAGAGATTCTCACGGTGCAGGATTGCCAGCCCCAGGCAACCCAAATCTGGGAGTTGGTACCTGCCTGTCAGCAGGCGCATGGCGCGCAGCTGTCGCGGCAATCAGTTCGTGGAGGGCGGAGTCTGTGACGATAGTCCTCGGGCGGAGTTCAATGCAAATGGACAGTGTGCAGGGTGTCCGGTGCATCAGTACTGGAGTTTGTCTGAAATGACATGTGCGGACTGCCCAGAAGCCTGTGTTCGCAAGGGTCGCAAGTCAGAGGTTTTTTCATCAGAAATACACTCTCCGGCCTGTGCCTAGACATCTCCGGCAGAGATCCCGTTCAATCCTATCTGAATCTCGCGCTGTGGGATTGTGAGTTCAGTGTTCCCGGCTCCGATCAGGTCTGGAGTTACCAAGAAGGTCTAGGTCTCCTCACGAGCGTGAAGCACGCGATTTGCATCGAGCAGGTTGGTTCGGATTCGGGTGTTGATCTTCGTCTCGGCGGTTGTGATATGCCGGAGGATCCCACCTCGGATCAAGTGTGGCAGTATGAAAACGGGTTTTTGGTGAACCGCCTGTCACGCAAGTGCCTGGATGTCAGAGGAAATCCTGGCCGTTCCAGGGGCTTGGCTCTGGAGTTGTTCGACTGTGAATTCAACATGGGACCAAATCAGACAGATCAGCACTGGGAGCTGTTGTCTGCGTATGTCTGCGTGTGAAGTGCAGGAAGGCGTCTTTAGCCATTGCGCCAGCCGGCCGAGTTGTCTAAGCACACAGGTCTTGGATGATGCTGGACTTTGCATGGACTGCCCCCCTGGCCAGTTTTCGGCAGATGGCCGCCAGTGCACGAAGTGCTTAGCGCAACAGCGCTGGAACGCAGAATCGGATGCATGCGCAGACTGCCCAGCCGGTACTACCGTTTCCGACGATGGGACCCACTGCGGCCCGGAGTCCACCATCTTTTATCTCGAGAACCCGAGGTCAGGGTTCTGTGCACAGGTCAATGTGTCACAAGACTATTCCATAAGGATGGAGCAGTGTGGCCGGGAAAGCGAAGTTTGGTATTTCCGCAATGGGCAGTTCCGGAGTGTTTCAAGCCAATTTTGCTTGAATGTCAATGGTAACCCTGGCATGGAGAACGGTCTTGGAACTTCAGCTTGGCATTGCGAGCCTTCAGGAGCATTTCACACAGATCAGGCGTGGCAGCTGAACGGCAGTCTGATCCTCCAGAAACTTTCAGGCAGATGTTTGACGGTCCGGGGAGGTCAGACTGAGAGCGGCACGCCGCTGGTCCTCTATGACTGCGCAGAAAGAGAGGAGGCAAATTTGACCGGTCAGTATTGGCATTTCTTGCCTGCATGCGAAGACAGAGATGGCCCGCCAGGTGTCTACAAGATTTGTCCGAGCATTTCATGTCCCTTCTCTGATGGGCTCCGGTGCAAGACGTGCGCCGGTCATCAGTACTGGAACCTTGAAGACATGGCTTGCTCAGACTGCCCAGACGACATGGTTGCCACAGAAGATCGGCTCAGCTGCGTGCGGCGAACCATCGCTGGTCTCACCGAACTGGGCTGGGCAGTTGTAGGCACATCCTTGGCTGCCTTCTAACTCCTCGTGGCAGCTTCGGGGCGTGTGTACTTCTTTCTGCATTCCCGGCTTAGACCAAAGCCAGATTTTGCACCGGCACCTCGCACGGTTCTGAGCGTGGAAACGGCCAAGGAGGAGTACTCCGCGGATGCTAAGCAAGACCAAGACATGGTTGAGGTGATTTTCTGATCCCTGCTTGCTGCAGTGATGATGATGTCGTGCTTTCGATTTTCGGCGCTGCTTCCAGCGGCGACATTCGCGGATCACTTCGCTACGTGGGTTTCAAAGTTCGGACCATGTGCAGGAACACTGTCGTGCATCCATTTCTGGGATCCGTGCTTGCCTAAGGCAAAGCGTCCAACCTGTCGGAATTTTTCTCCAGTTATTGAAATCTCGTGAAACACGAGGATGGACAGCGCAGACCATGCAATTGCTCCAGGTTGCAGGTCGTTACCATGCTGAGTGATGCACAAGTCCCAGCTGCTGGTCTGTGGGCCTAGAATGCAACATACAATACAATATACCGCCAATATGCTAAAGTTTACTATAATGCCATAGAGTATTATAATATAACATATTATAACTATAACATACAAAAATTACAGTATGTTATAACGCGTTTTAACATGATATATTATTATAGAGTCTCCTTGCAGGAAAGAGCTGGAGGCCCGTTCGCACTCAAGGAAGCGGTCCGAGGCCAGATGGGAGGCCGCCAACTGCTGTATTCAGAAAGTGGGACTGGGGCTTCCGTTTTGGGAGCATTTTGGGATCAGGGTCGGGCAGTAATGTTGTTGTTTCGAGTCCTCCTGCTTGCGGTCTTGGGCCTAGAGCTCGAGTTTGGGGGTTGAGGGTTTTTCTTTTAAGGTCTGGGTACAAGCATGTTGCCGACCTTCAGGCTCTTGAACTCGCGCTCGTATCGGGCTTGCACTAGCTTTCTTTCTTATGTACTTGTTGCAGTTCAGCACCGGACGGACAGCTTGTGTTCATGTATTCTGACGTTCGCCACTTCACACATCAATGGTTGGAGCGTTAGGAGGATGAAGAAAGCAGGGCGACGTTAGTTAGTGTGCCGCTGTTGATGAGGACAGGGATGAGGACGTGGATAACGTGTGCAATGACGATGAGTGTTGGGAGCATTTTGAGGATGATGCCGTTGTCGGAGTGGTGCTTATGATGCATCCCGCCCGACAACCATAAAGCTCGAAGCTCGAATCCCCGCAGCGCTAGCCAGCAACAGCCCAAGCCCATGTTCGGATCACAGGCCCAGACCAGCTGCGAAACTTATAGTCGTCTCAGATGCTGAAGCGTTAGCCGCTAGCCTTTTGCACCATCGCCAACCTTTTCGGAAGGAGCGAGACGAAGGCCCGCCGGTCAAGGCCTCACCCTCGCGTCTCTCCGTCGACGAACGCCGGGAGGGCCTGCTGCTGGACGGAGGGAGAATTCAAAAATCAGAAAGATCGACGGTAGCATAGTGCAGTATCATTCTGTGGAAGCACCTCTGCCGCGGACCTGTCTTTGCGTGGTTCTCTATCCGACAAATGCAGTGATCTTCTGCGTCAGTTGGTGGAACGGGGGAACGGTAAGAAAAGAAGCAAGCTCCTGGCCTCGACAATTTCAGTTCAGATTGTGCTGCATGGGGTCTCGTTGCCATGTCAGATCAGGGTGCTTCGGTACTCCGCTTCTCTTGTGGTTTCCTTCTCGCAGTCAAAGTCGTCGACGGAACCGATGTTGAACTACTGCGCGGATTTGTTATGCTTGGACAGGACTTGTTCCTGGAGCACTCGCATGGTCGTCACGGCCACATGACTTAACTGGGGTAGGATTCGCGGCCAATTTGCTAACAGGCCAGTTACTAGGATGATAGACGCGGTGCTTTGAAGGAGCCCGGTCCGAGTTGTCGTTTTTGTTTACGCCTGTGGTGGCCAACGGTTCGCATGGAGGTTGGGTTGAATACACTTCATCAAGTGTGCACTCTTGCCGCGGTCCCGACATCAAAGTCGTTCTGGTCGCGCTTGAGACTGCATATTTCTTTGGAAGATCTGGGCCAACGCCAGGGTTCGCTTCCAAGCTGCTTCGAGTCCTCTGTGCTTCGCCCTAGTTAAACTCGGATGCCATTGGCCCAGAGCAGGTAGGATGGGTGGCAAAGAGACCCAAAATCCTCTGATAAGCTGGAGTGTAGCTGTTGTATCACACCGACCCACACCACGAACCTCCCCTGGCATGTCCGAGTTGTGAGAGGGTAAATACTCTTAGCTTGCGCAGTCAAGCAGTGCAGAAGGCAACAAATACCCTTAGCATGTGAATGATATGGGTCGCCGGTTTGTTGTTTAGAGGTATCTTGTGTGGTTGACGTTTATGGTTTGATACCCATGTTTACCTATCGGAGGCTGGCGGGTCAAGAGCTCTACCAGTTAGATTCATTGACCGTTGCACCGCAGCAGCACAAGTGACGACTTACCTGAAACCCTGGAAAGCAAACTGCAACCCTCAAACAGCAGTCTGAGGCGGCATGGAGTGCGACATCCTCCTTGCTTTGCTGCAGGAAAGCTTCATTTGGGGGTAAGTCTGCTGTGAACTTGCATGTAGCTCCTAATGGGATTCGGCACCCATCTGCAAGGATGCAGGCTTCCTGCGTCGTGGCATCGCGGAGCATGATGTAAAGCGGTGGTGGGTGTGAGCCTGAGTGATGTTGCAGTTGGGGATCGTTGATGCAGAGATTTTTGTCGTTCCTTGGACGCACAAGCCTGCCCCGATGTCGCGTCGCTTCTTCGACGGTGGAGCCAAGCGGTTGCTAAACATGCGCCTGCACAAGTGTCGAAGCTACAAACCCTCATCTCCGAACCCGCAGATCCGCGCCCAAGAGCCGAGGAGGATCTGGTTAACAAGGTGGAGCATCGAGGTCGTGTTGGAGGCAAATGAGCGTTGCAGTAAGTTCGCCGCATTTTTGGTTGTAGCAGTAGCAGGTCTAGCATAGCTTTACATGTGTGCAGTTCTTGCAGAAGCGAAAACAGCTGCTGTTGCAGGGTGCGCAAGGGCCACGTTTGCAGAGTTCTCCCAGGCGCCACGTTACTGTGTTTGGCCTTTCTTGTTGTTTGTCGGTTTTAGTTCTTTTAGCAGCCTTTTCTGCCTTATCTGATGGGTTGGGACGTGGCGGTGCTGTCGATGAAACCTTGGTTGAAAGGTATGACGAGGTTGGTCATGAAGCTTTGCTAAAGCAGTGTGATCGCCATCGCTGCCGCATCTTTTCAGGAGACATGCTTTCTTGCCCAGAGTGGGGGTCCTGCGGGTGTGAACTTGCCTTGGAGCATCTTGGAGCTTGACCCATCGTAGCAACCCTTATTATGCTAACTCCTCATAGAGACCTAGCAGCGGTCAATTTTGCCTCTTGTCTGGCACCAAGATCCTGGAGTTGATTTCCACGAAGCTGGATTGCCCTGCGCTTGGTATGAGCTGTGCGTTTGCCTGGCCTGGCGCATAGTGGCTTGCAGGTGCTAGCCTGGCACAGACCTATCCCGAAGCTGCTAGAAGTCATACCATTATAGGACTCATTATGAACAGGAAGGGTACTTGAGTACTAGAGAACAGCAACGGTGCACCTTGCGGAATGTCTCCCTCACATCGTCCCTCATAATCCTAGTGCCTCATGGATCCTGTAGCATGTCCAGCAGAGAATGGACCTCAGGCCCCATCGAACAGGTGGAGAAGCAGGTAGCAGCCCTGCACCGGTAAGACCTCAAAGAGGTCCTGCGGGTTCGAGCTTTCATGGATGTGCTCAAGGGCTCAGGGTAGGCTTCTTGAGCTTCGGATATGGTCGCCACATGAAGGGCAAGGCTTTGGGGAGGTTCCTTTTCTGAGATGCCAAAAGTTGCTTCTCTCTGTCCGGAACGTGCTGAAACAGCATCTGAGCCAAAGACCACCACTTGATGGGGACGCGGGGTTGGGAAGGGATACCTGGGGCCCTGAGGGTGTGAGACTCGTGCTGCATAGCTGGAAATGGTAAGACAGCAACGTTCCTACAGGTGCCCTAGTGTAGGGTTCGTAATGACTAGTAATATTTCCTTACAGCTTATACTTTTTGTGCATCCCTCCCCGCTTTCCCAATGGCATCAAGTCTGCTCATTCCCGGCTGGCCAAGCCAGCTGGCAAGTCTGTCCAGATCCATGACATCTCGGTATCATGGAAAAGCGCTCTGGAGCGGAGGCTTTTCAGATCAGCATCGCGGCATGTTTGGACAGGAACATGGCAAATTCCGATCAGAACTTCAAAGCATGACATACTGTCTACCGTCGCCGTCCAGTCCCAAAGGGAAAATGGCGTGGGACATGGAAGTCGGGTGACCGACGGGGTCCACCCCCTGGGTCGCCGGATCTTCGGCCTATGTCCGCGGGGAGCCACAGGGTAGCCAAGCTGAAACAAGCAATCCTTCTCCGAAAAGCAGAAGGAAGATGAGGAAGCGATAAATAAGTCCTTTTTTTGGAGGTTATACTCCATAGTAATCGTGAGATTCGCTGCAGGTGCAGAGGAAGAGCTGCTCACGCTGCCATGGCGGCCGATGCTACGGACCTGCGGGCCACACCGCTCACGTGGGCTGCGGTCTGTAATCGGAACCACACGCTGTCTTTGCTCAGTTCAAAGATCCCGACTTGACTGACCCCAATGAAAAATGAAGGCAGCTGACTTGCTGCCCAGTACCCACCGTCTCCGTACCTACTGCTTCCTCTTGATGGCTATTGCTTGGCTATCGCTGTTGTTATGCTGATTGTCGGTGTCGTGTGCTATTTCTAGGCAGGAGGACAAATAGTATTGTGAAATACTGTGAACCTTATCATGCCAAGTTCGTGTTGCTAGACGTAGCAGACCGTAGTTATTCTTTTCAATGCTTGATCGAGCTGCCTTCAATAGAAAAGGTTTGAATGGATTGGACCCTCCCACAGCATGCCCCCTTATGCCAACATCCCTGAACCGCAAACTCTTCAAGTCTTTCGGAAGGAGTCGGACGACAGCCCCAGTCCCAGCGCGAGTCGTCCTGTGAGCCGGACCGCCTCTGAGCGCAAGAAGAAGGCACCGAAGAGGAGGCCCGGATGAGCCTAGAACTAGGATGTTGTCAGTGCTGCAATGTGAGCACCGACATAGCTGGACTACCAAGAAGCATGGTTACTTCTAATCTTCCTGCAACTGCGCGGCAGCTTGGCCCTCCAACTGCCACGACATGCCACGACTGAAACGGCGACTGCTATCCTGCAGCTTCTGTGGCCGCTCCCAGGCCTACCCCGATTCCTGTGTAGTTCTGATTCCATTGCTGCTGCTTCCACTACAATGACGACGGCCACCACTACCACTGCTTCCCTACCGCGACGACACTTGCTCTGGCTGCGCTCTTCCAAATTGCTTTCGGCAAATGTCAAAGGTTCCCGACTCCAAGCATCGGGGTTCTCACTTCGATTCCAAAAAGAAGCTGAAAAGCCCATGCAGCCCACTTTCATTTGGCAAGGCCTCGGAATCCCTGACGAGCAAACCCGAAAGCCCAGGCCCTAAAGGTATGACCGGCTCGCTGGCAGAGCTTGCCGTACTAGCGTTACAAGTTACAAGTGAATCAACTCCTGAGATTCATCTCGCAGTGCCGTCAAGCACCATGATTCATGTCCATGCATGTCCCGAATGCATGCAAGACCAAGTGGCGTTCAAAATGGGGTCTTCTGAAAGGAAGGCCTGAGCATAAACGTCAGCTTAGGCTCAGTGTTTATCAACACGCCAAAACGGCGATGTCCTTGCGCATACAAGTCGAAAGGCTAGCGGAGCCGGCGCGGCCGGCGAAGGCCTTCAGTTGCAGAGGTGTTGCCGGATTTCAGGGGGTACTGTATGTCACGAGGAGATGCTTATGACCTGCGAATCGTTGCACCATTTTCGACCAGGGCCTTCTTCAGCATGTGGGACTGCAAGGTTTGTGCTCGAGCGCAGCCTTGGACAGCTCGCCTACGAAGTCGAAAGCTATAATCTGAAGAGACGCCAGTCCCAGAGTCTCAGACGCCCGGAGGTTGCCCTGCTGGTTTGGAAGATCTCTTGCTCCATCTTGTCCCGGGCCGTGCCTGGGACTGAAGTTTAGCAGCTCGGAGCTGTGCTCGACTCCAGAAATTTCGCAGGCTCCCATTTGGGGCATAGGCATAGGCCCTAGGCCCTAGGCTTGCAGGTCAAGGGTTCGACGTGGTGCGAGCGTCACAAGCTCCAAGACATCCCTTGCGAGTTCTGAGCCCCAGACTTCCTGCTAGCTGGCACACGACGATGATGACGATGCCGTTGATCCAGCATGTGCAACGAAGGTCAAGATCACTAACTCCAGGAAGGTGACGATGATGCTGATGGTGATGTAGGTGTTTCAGATTGTAGACTTATATATACATATATGTACAGACACAAGCACCTGCACACACACACACACAAACACACACAAACACACACAGACACACACAAACACACACAAAAACACACACAAAACACACACACAAAAACACACACAAAAACACACACAAAAACACACACAAAAACACACACAAAAACACACACAAAAACACACACAAACACACACACAAACACACACACAAACACACACACAAACACACACACAATCACACACACAAACACACACACAAACACACACACAAACACACACACAAACACACACAAACACACACAAACACACACAAACACACACAAACACACACAAACACACACAAACACACACAAACACACACAAACACACACAAACACACACAAACACACACAAACACACACAAACACACACAAACACACACAAACACACACAAACACACACACAAACACACACACACAAACACACACACAAACACACACACAAACACACACAAACACACACACAAGCACACACACAAGCACACACAAGCACACACAAGCACACACAAGCACACACAAGCACACACAAGCACACACAAACACACACAAGCACACACAAGCACACACAAGCACACACAAACACACACAAACACACACAAACACACACAAACACACACAAACACACACAAACACACACAAACACACACACAAACACACACAAACACACACACAAACACACACACAAACACACACACAAAAACACACACACACACACACAAACACACACACACAAACACACACACACAAACACACACACACACACACACAAACACACACACACACACACACAAACACACACACAAACACACACAAACACACACAAACACACACAAACACACACAAACACACACAAACACACACAAACACACACACACACACACAAACACACACAAACACACACAAACACACACAAACACACACAAACACACACAAACACACACAAACACACACAAACACACACACAAACACACACACACACACACACACACACACACACACACACAAACACACACACACACACACACACACACACACACACACACACACACACACACACACACACACACACACGTTTGGCACGGATCTCGGTGGCGACGAACATTCATCCGTGTCGTCTCTCTCAAGGCGAAGCGGACACAGCGGAAGGCACTGCAGGAAGCGCTCGGGCGCCTGGCGGCCCAACACTTGTCGCGCGGCAGCAACAGGGGCATGGGCAGCACCTCAATGCAGCAGAGTGATTCAGAGTGAAAAGAAGTCGTTTCCTTGATGGGCGACATCCCCCTCCATCAGTCTCTAGCTCCCTTCAGCTCCTCCTGCTCCTCCTCGTCCTCCTCGCTGGTATCGTCGTCGTGTTCGCAGCGTCATCGTTGTCGCGTCTGTAGCCACTTTGCTTCACATGTCTCTCCGTCCTCTCCTCTTCTCATCAGCCCCAGTCGCTTTAGCATCCGGGTCAGTATCACTACTGCCCTGGGCAACCAATAGTCTAGAAAGATCTTCAGAACTTTCAAGTTTCAGTTTGGGAGGGTTTGAGTCATGGGGTCATGAGCAAGTCCGAAATCTTGACCTTGTCTGAGGCAAGTAAACAAAAGCATTAACCCTAGGCCACGTCGCAAGCGTGCAGCTACATGTGGTATCCTGAATGGCCCACACAAATCACGCAGATCCAGGGTGAAGAAAGTTTTGGCGACCGTGGCACAATGGGAGCGACACGCGCTGAAAAACTGCAACTGGCGTGGAGAGCTCCCTGGCTTAACGCAGCTTGCTGAGAGTCTCCTGTGCGGAGTTGGGTGTTTGCTTCTTCTAGCGTGGAGCCCTCACCGCCTTGCTCTGCTGAGGGGTGACGCCAAGCCACCACAGACGAACTTACACCTGGGTGTGGGCTGGTGGGAGCTGCCGGAGTTGGAGAACTATCCAGCTCCTGTGCCCGAATTCAGGGTTTGCTCCGAACCTTGTTGCCCGTTATTCCCCTGCACCTCGTAACCGAAATCTTCCCGTTCCGCCCCGTGCCAGATCTGGAATGTAGATGTCTTGGCCTTAGTTTGGATGATGGGATGGGGGAGGCTCCTCGGGAAGCTACTTGTAGGACTGGGGCCAGCAAGTGCTCGGACCTCGGAGCCCAAATGGGAATCCCACGACACTCCCATCGTTAAGCTGTGCAAAGCACTCCTTGTCTCCATGTCCAACCCTCAGATGTCCTGGGCCGATTGCCAGGCGCAAACCTGACGATCATGGACTGTGGAAGTGCAATAAGACAATGTGTTTCTTCAGCACAAGGGGTCCTACTGTAAGCCTCAAATCTGTGCAGACTCGGCTGGATCTAGTTGAAGACTTACTGTATTGCCCTCTGCAGGTCTCGGTGGCGGATGCGACTGCGGCAATGCTACATGCGATACAGTTCGGCGGCTCGAAGGCTCGGCGCTGCAAAGCGCGTGGTGTGTAAGGTTCAATGTTCAATATGGGGCATTGCATGGCGAGCTGAAATGACTGCCAGGAGTACGGGGGCGCAATCGGCGCCGCTTGCCTGCGATTCTTCCATCAGAGCAGCTCGTGACCTCTTCAACGCCACCGTTCAACTCCTGGATCTGCATCGCCCAGAACTGTTCTTGCATCCTCCTTGGTTCGATGATGTTCGATGGCAGAGTCTTGTGGGACTCCGTCCCGCGTCGACCTAGAACCTCACTTGGCAATGGGTGTTTCAAACTGGTAGCTTGTAACTCACTTCTCCCGTGAAAGGTGTGAGTAGAGTCTTCGTTCGTGTTGCCTTGCAGTGTTGCAGCATTTTGCTGCAATCGTGGGCGAGATGCATGTGAAGTGATTCGTATCGGCTTGGTCGTGGAAGTGAGAGACTGCATGGTCACCTTCCCTGCCTATAGTGACTCGTTCAGCAATGCAGGAGACAAAACATAAGCGGTTCAAGATTGGACTCGAACCGGACGGCTAGCCCTAGCCAATTGCCCCCAACATGACGCCATGAGACACGTCAGAGATTCCGTCCCGGCACCTGCCGAATCCAAAGCCTCCGCACCCAAGCATTCGATGCTCCACTTGCTGCAAATCTTGGTTACTGCCCCCACTCAGTAACAGCTGGACAATATTCATAATGTAGATATATTAGGCCGTTAATAGTAGCCCTATTTTAGACTGCTACTGTATGGAGGCAGTATCCAATGTAAACCCACAGTCCTGCCGCCTCCCAGGACTTGAGCAGCTTCGTGAAGGAGTACGTCGCTCGACTCTGACTCTGGGTGGGGGTATGGACATGAAGAGCACGCGTCTTTCAGGAGGCGTAGCGCCTTATCTAGGGACCCGTATAAAAACTATCTCACTTGAGGTCCGACTTTTTCTTCCATCTCAGGTGGCCAGCTGTCGGCTCACCTGCGCCTTCTGGCACATCAGTTCGGTGGTGCAGCTTTCGAGCTTCAGATACCCTGTGTTGGAGGAGCTGCAGATCTATCATGTTTCAGTGGAGGTGACATGTTTAATTGCTTAAAGAGGCTTTTGCAGCTTTTGCAGCTGCACATGTGTTGGGATTGTCGAGCACTGTTCGGACTGGGACCTTGCCTGGCTTTGCCGAGCTGTGAGTTACCAAAAGCCGCACAATCCTAAACTTCAAACCCTAACGCCTGCATTGTCCGAGTTCCGAGAGTCTTAACCCCCAGGTACGGAATAATAATGGACAATGACACATCAATGTACCGTGCTTCGGCCTCGTTTTGGAGAAAAAGCTCAAGATCTGCGGCAAAGGTCATCAAGCGCTACACCTTCGAGGCCTAAGGGCCGGAAAGCAGGTTGAGCTTTAGAAGTTACGACCTCCATGGCGTCGCCATCCTTCAGACCCCCCAATCCTAAGCACCTCAGCCCTTTTGTCGCCTTGATATAAAACTTTGGGGTCCATGAGGGTTCTCTGGCAGCTGTCGGGCTTCAAGCACTTCGGCCGCAGTGGTTATGGATTTTCATTCTGCATGACCCTCCATCCCATGGAGCCTAACATGGATAGTCCGAGATGCAAATTGCAGCTAGGCCTGAAGTGGATTTCTTGGAGCATGTTTGAGTTCACAGTGTGGGAAAGGAGCCTCAGGTAGAAATGGGAAGCCTTTCCGGAAGCCACGCCAGCAGCACTGCACACTGTTGGGTTCGGAGAACAGAGCCGGTTTGTGGCTGTCACAAGGAGAAGAAGGCCCGGTTCCAGCACCGTGATGAGTTGAGGCGCGGTTGCTTTACCTTGGCTCCAGGTTGCGACACGGAGTTGTGAAGACTCGACGGAAGGCTTTTGGACCGTCTCATGTGGTTCAGGACTGAACGGAGGTCTGAGTTCTGATAACATCACGTCAGTGTTGTTTTCGTTTATGCAGTGTCAACCAAAGAAGCCTTGCTAAATCGTGTGATGTCTGATGCTGCCTTGCCCTCTACAAGCTCGAGGGTTCGTGCTAGTGAATCAAAAGCGATTCCAGAGCAGCAGCAAATCCGCCCTCTGCTGTCCGCACCTCCCCCTCCTCCTCCTCCTCCTCCTACGACCGAGAACCAAAGGCACTGGTCATGCAAACGGCAATAGTTCAAGGCCCGTACTTGTTATCAGGCTGGCAGGTCTACCGTAGCCGTCGCGCAACCAAACAGGTCATATTGATCAGAACACTAATCTCTACGCAGAACAGAAGGAACCAGGCTAGCAATTAATGTTCTTCACCAGGAGTACCTGTAGAGATACGGACACACGCTCACACAGACACACGCACGAATGCACGAGAATACAGCGAAGCATAGCTGTCGCATGCTGTTGCTGGGATAGCTGTCATCCCTCTGCAGGCTGCACGAGACAATCCAAAGCCCAAGGCCATAATCATGGGGATGCCACAGGCCCCTAGAATAACCCTATTCGACACCTATTCGTCTAACAAGTGGAACTGACCTGTGTCAGATGAGTCTTGTTATGGACATGCGGGTTTGCTTACATTTCAGATGGTCACTTCCCTTGCATGTGAATCTCTTTTTCTTGCTATTATTGTGCATCAGGCAGGCCTTCGAAGAGCAGGAAGAAGCCCGGCAACTTGACTCAATTTCAGTTGGCCCTCGCGACCGCAAGATTCTGTGCATGAGTCCGGGGCAACTGCCTCGGCACTCAGGGGGAACTTCGAGGAGCGCGCGAAAGTCATTGCGTCTACACTGGTGCCTCGGCTGTACAAGTTGTGTAAGCTCGTGCTATGAGGAGATCCAGGCACTAAGTGATGCAGGAAATCCGGTGCAAAGGGAAGCGCTCTGGGGTTGGATTAGAGTTGTAGCTTCTGTAGCTGCTTATCGACCTCCAACCTCCAAGGCCAACATGCTTCCGAATCTGTCAGGGGAGTCGAAGACCTTGAGCTAGTTTGCGACCAGCAGTCGATGGCTTTGCCACCCTCAACCGACATTGTGAGAAGAAAGCTTTGCCCGGGAGTGAGTCCAAGTCCACAACGTTGGTCTGATTGCTGGCAGAAGACGCAGCCAGGTCCAGAAGCATGCGGACCTCAAGACCTTCGACACCCAGCCCAAAATATGTGCTTGCCTGCAGCCATCGTTTGGAGCTAGAACAATCGCGGCTATTGCAGTGGCAGTAGCGCCTGCGTGGTGATGATGGGGGCTCGGGGGCAGCCGCTAGAGTCCTCATAGTATCTTCAGTTATTGTGTCGGCGATGACAAGTACGCACAGTAACGAAATGCAACGCATGAATATCCAGGGCGGCAGTTGCTGCCCCAGTAGCGGCAGAGGAGCAGCATCAGCAGCAGTCATCTTGCCATGCTCTACTTACTCTGAGAGAGCAAGTGCTTCGCGTCCTCCTGCTACTACAGCAGCTGCTGCTGTAGGCGGCATCATTGGCAGAGAAGCTTGAGTCCGTGAGGCCCCAGTCACCCTCATCGTAGTGCCTTTTAGTCCGGCCCCCTGGCTCCAGAACACCTGGTTGTGCTCGCGTTACTTCTTCCTGATCTTAAACCTCATTGTTGATGTTGGATATGTCTCACGCCGCAAGGACGCACTGCACCATCTGGCAACGCAGAGAGACAAGAACTTCGACGTGCACATCTCCAACAGCTTCTGAGCTGTACAAGTTATAATGAACAAACAGTACACGAAATTCCAAGCCTCGTTTCGTTTCTGGCTGCATAGCCTTGTCTTTCTTACTGTGTGGCAGCCTTCAATCACCGGTGGTAGAGGAAGAAATTCCACCAAAGTACAGAAGCAGGCAAGACCATCTGCGATGGTTACCTGTCTCTGCAAAACGTCCATGTCTACCAGGCATTGGGCAGGCTCGGGTCAATGTGAATTCCGAGGCTTCGGTTGCCGGATTGAGGGGCGACGTTCAGTACAGGCATGCAGCAGTGCTGCGTTTTTCTCGGCTATCGACCAGCAGCTGAATTTTTGTGTTTCTTGCAGGAGGCAAACGGAGCCTGAACGCTTGATGCCGGAACTGGTCACTCACGCTATCAACTCCGAACAAGTAATCATAGACTCTTTGAAGTCTATCAGCTGCGCTAGAAGAAAGAGCACAATCCCGAAGCCGCCAGAGATTGGACGCTTCTTCGTCAAGCCCATAGGATCTACCCGCGCCTCCTGGCCTTGGAGAAGGAGTTGGAAGAGACCTGGCTTTTGGTCCCGTGCTTGCGGGCTTTGGTTCTCGTGTGTGAGTTCGGGATTCAAATTCGCGGCGGTTGTGATTGTTTTGAAATGTCGTGGCAGTTGTTGTGTTGCAACAGTCACAGATTCGAAACTGGAAAATGCCAACCCAGACCTTCAGTAGTTGCCGACAATATTCTTTGCAACACCTAGGAATCACAGTAGTGTCGCAAGAACAGTCGAGGAGCAGCAACAATCAGCAGCAGCAGCCGAGTAGTGGTAGTAGTGGTGTAGTAGTAGCAGCAGCAGCAGGAGTAGTAGTAGTAGTAGTAGTAGTAGTAGTAGTAGTAGTAGTAGTAGTAGTAGTAGTAGTAGTAGTAGTAATTAGTAGTTGTAGTTGTAGTTGTAGTTGCAGTTGTAGGAGGACGCATACTAGGCTGGATACCGTCATGGCTCGACCCCTCCCTGAACCCTGCCCAGGACACCATCCAGAGTGTGACGGGATTGGCAGATCCTGGCACCCTGGAACGCACGGATGTCGATCCCCATTGGTAGTCCCTGATCGGAGCAGGTTTGCACAGCGTTTGCCATCCCCCGAAACCCCTCGTCCGTTTTAGCTTCGCTGCTACCGGCGGCCCTGCTTTCAAACAGGAATGTTGAGGCGGCAGTCGGGAGTTTCGGCCCTTGGAGTGCAGCAGTGCGGTCCAAGCCGAGGCGCCGAGCCTGAGGCGATAGAAGAGGAGGAGGTGCCGTTTCCATCCCATCGCCCGCCCTCCCGCAGTGGCCTCTGGCAGTCCAAAAAGTGTTTCGGCTCTTAGGAGGGGCCTCGAGGAGCCCAACTTTACGAGAACTCCTTTAAGGCCAGCAAAATCCAGTCCAGACTAGTTACTAGTTTTAGGAGTTGAGGCTCAGTGGATGTGTAAAGCGCCTGACAACGTGCACACAATCAGGTTGGCCGGCGAATAGGTGAGAGCACTTCTCGAGAACGGTGGTGGGGCGGCTGTGTGCTTGGGCCCCGGAGCCCGACACTTTAAAACTTTAAACCCGCGACGTAATCTTGCTCAAACAAGCCAGGTGAAAGCCTGAAAACATGTCGCAGAGCCCCTGTGTGATCTGCCTGGCTTGCTTCGATGCCCTCCCAAGCCTTCAAGCTCCTAAGTAGCTTCCTGACGGGGATGCTGAAATGCAGGATTACCGGTAGGAACGTGGACGAGGCTTGGCAAGCCGACCCTAAGCCGTCGAGCATGAGGCTTCAGACTTAGACTGCAATAACGTGTATGGCCGGAGTCCCCAGGGTCAAGTGCCTGTGCGTGTGTGCGTGTGCGTGTTTGCGTGTGTGCGCGCGTGTGTGTAGGTGTGTGTAGGTGTGTGTGTGTGTGTGTGTGTGTGCGTGCGTGCGTGTGTGTGTGCGTGTGTGTGTGTGTGTTTGTGTCCAATGGTGCGTGCCCTTTACACCCTTTGCTAACCACACCCTCGCACCCTAAACTCATAGCTAGTTATCGTTGTGTCTGGAGTTGCAGTGCAGCCAGCCCTTAGCCCGGCAACCGTGCTTACAGATGTTGCAACTCGAGGCACAGGTTTCACTAAACAGAGATTGACTCAGCGCCAAGAACCTCGCCTGGCCTGCACTCCCAAAACAGGGCCTGGAGGATATCAAGAAGGAGGAAGAAAGCCCGCGAGCCAGGGCCAGGCGCCGCAAGGCCACCCGTTGGGAGATTCGGAGCCTCAGGATCCTGAGACACTGAAGAATACTAAGATACTTGCATGTAGTAATTCGCCCTTGCTTGCCGCAAGTGCAAACGTGCAGTGGTGGCTGCTGTCGCCATAGAAGCGTACTCAACAAGAGCGAGAAGCGCAGCAATTCTTCAGATCATCGTGCGAAACTTGACACTGGCAGCACACCACAAGCTGATCGGCCCCAGTAGTCATACCAATGCAAACGTTTAGAAACAGGTCTAGGGTCTAGAAGAATCACACCGCTACGGATGCTCGGGGGATCAGGTTGTTTGCTACACGTTGTCCTGAATACAAGGGAAGGCCAAGCCTAGTCCAAGCGAAACCGAGCACTCAGTGAAAGAGTCCACCTTACTCTCCAGAGCGCGCAACTTTTCACTCGTATGTCACGAGTGACCATAGTGATGCAAAACACATTCTTTCACGCTCCCGTATTGGCAGCGATGTACCGGCCGAGATGAGCATGATCGTCACAACACGAGCACAGTGGCAGTTACTCTGGTAGGGGTGATGATGGTGACATTGATAGTACTGAGTTACTGATGGTACAGGCCTATGCAAGGACAACAAAATTCTAGTGCCACGAGGCCCAGAAGGTTACAATGATTGCGGTATTTCCCTTTTGTCCACCACCAGTGTACAGGCCTGTGAGACAACAACCTCAAAGTATTCGTCCTTCTACTTTTCTACTCGGAGTCTTGCTGGAGGAAACGATGCGGCGGCGGAAGGCACTCCTGGAACAACAGCGAGTGAACAAGGGACCCGGAGAGGCGTCATCGGGATCCAAGTGCATTGCGGGTTTAGCGAATACAGTTCTATTGCCGGGCAGTGCGCTGACCTATGAGCACCACACCTTGGCCTTAGGCTTTGCGTGGCCAGAGCGCTACCCCAAGCTTCTCCCAGTTTTCTCACAATGGAAGCCTTGATGCCCAGAAACTACTTGGGCAACGGTGTCAGTTGCGTACCCCTGCGAGTTGTAGTTGCAGTCGTACAGCACTTGCAACAAGTAGTGGTGGCAGCGGTTGTTTCCTTGGGGTCATTGTCATTATCATGTTGTCCTCGTAATATCAGCGTTATTTGTGATTGCAATAATTAGAACAAAAGCAACTTTCGCAGAATATGGCAATCAACATAGCTTTGCACGTGACTGGAAAGTGTCGGTGGTAAGTGGTATATAGCTGTCCATCATGTCGCGAATATTGTACCGGTCGTCGTGATTTGTTGAGCTGCAGTGGTACCAGTAGTAGCAGCTCAAGCTCAGCCCCTTGCATCGCCAGGAGGCCGACCAGGCCAGGATGTTTCGTGCAACAGCTTTTTTCTAGCTTGGGCTGGGGTTCGGTCTTCCACGTTCAGCCATCCAGGCTCTGGATTTCGAGTGGTGGCACTTGAATGGCGGGTGGAGGATGCAAAACTGCCCTCCAGAGAGGCCTCCAACAGCCGGCCCGCGCTTCGCTTCGAAGACAAGGACCACGTCTCCGCAGTTTCCGGATTTGGAGTTGTTGAACCCAGCAAACCAGGAGTTGTGGCGTTCTTATTAAACAAGCTCTGGGGGGCCGCCATCCCCTAATTATTTTGTTAGGCGTGGTCATGCGAGTGTTTTGGTGGCAGCTTGCTTGTGGAGGATGCATCACATGATAGTCCCCTATGTAACCGGTGTCCTGTACGCAGTGCATGAGCAAGTTCGGCTTCTTGCGTTTGAAACTCTTTTACAGCTTGGCCTTATTTCGGGCTTCCACAAGAGGGTACAGATGTCATGGATTGGGTGCAAAAGTGGCACGGCGTTGGTTTGATAGTTTAATGCGTGTCTCTTTGCGACAAACTGCTGAACCACGTATCTCCCGAACGACTCGTTGTCAGTTGAGACCATTCAACCAAGTCGTGCCCAAGGCGGCTCATGACAAGCAGCTGGCAGCTCTGAAAGAGAAGTTCGACAGGGTGCTGCTGGAATACGTCGCTTGTCCACGTGAGGCATTCTTGCACTCAGTTTCGGCTGAGATTGAAAAATTCGGGCCCTAGCTCTGACTACTCTGCACGTCCAGGCGGTCGGGCAAGCTTGAACCCGAAACCGTCCCAAATGCTCAGTGATTCTTGAATGTTCCAGGCCTCTCCGCAAGAACAAGGGGCTTGCAAGGCCCCCGAACCGCAAGAGTCCGCCTGTCTGCGATGGTATGAGGATTTGGTTCCCGATGCGGACAAAAGCAGCAGCTCAGATGCAAGATTCTAACTTGTGGGTGTGCGTTGGTGTACGTATGCGTGCATGCGTCTGAAACAACCAATGGCCGATTCTCGCAAGACCGGCGCATTTGAAGGCATCTGTACATACCTATGCCTACATGCATACTTACGCACGTAGGTACGACTCATACGTACGTACACGCATGCAGGTGTAGGCAGGCGGCGAATCCCGTAAGGTAGAGCCTGTAGTAAGGCAGAGTAGTCTGAAGATGTGGCATACCTTATGAAATGTACAAGGTGGCGGAATACATTCTATGATGTAAGTCAGAATGCATTAGGCATTTTGCGCTGCGCCAAAGGCTTTTAACCGTTTATTTTACGATGAACATAGCCGCCCACTAATGTCGTAGATATATACATCTTACTAGCAACACCGTTTGAAACGGCTTTATGGTCAGTCCGAAGATATGCAATGCTTGTAGACAGTGGTTCCCTCGTGATGACTGATAATGCCCGCGAGGAAGAACTGATGATCAGACGCGAGAGAGTAGAAGAAGCGCACAAGGACGATCAATCAATTAACATGCAAAGCCACACGTTTCAGCGCAAGGAATTGCACACCTCTACACCTTGGCCAATCAGGGTCAGCAAAAACTGGATCAATACCAGGACTGCTGGGGCAATTCGTGCTGTTTTGGGTTATGCCTCGCCTCTTTGATGACTGTGCCCCTTGCCGTTGCGTCCATTGTTGTAAGTGCGTAGTCTCAAAACTTCTGACTGTTTACCTTTTGATTTCAGTCGTCCGAGGCTCCTGCGCACACATATGATGTATGATTGTCTTGCGAATGGCTTATGCTGCGTATGCAGCCCTTGGTGCACTACTCCTGCCGAATGCTGTCAACTGTTACTGTTCTTACGACCTCAAACTCCGATCGCCGTGTTCCGCAAGCGTAGCACTAGGCGAAACGATGCTGGTGATGATGATGGGCCGCAGAATGCTGCTCTTGAGGGTGTGGATGACCAGGACACTTGACTACTCTGACTGCTGTATCCAGTGTCTGCAGGATCAGCTCCAGAAGGCCGAGGAGGATATCGAGGTTCTAGCAGCTCGGCAGAGGGTTTGTGCGGCTCGAGCGCGCGAACTGTTGGACCACAGCCTGGTCTGCAGCAGCGAGGCCAACAGTCTTGAGCAATCGAGGTCACGCGCGAAAGCTTTCGTGCACAGGAGAGATACGCGGCGATGCAGCGTAAACCTAAATTGAAGAGCGAGACTCAGGCAGAACTTTTGTGCACCAGCAGGAGGAGTACCGTGTAAACGGTTTTGGATTGGTACACAGTGCACAACCTGAGCGGAAGACGACGACCCAACACCCTATTCTGATCGGCCCTTGTTTCGGTGACCGGTTGACCACATCCCAGGCACACAGGACGAAAGAGGCGCTGAGGGCAGAGCCACTCGGATGGCTTCGGATTGATGCTCGCTGTGGTTTCGCACGAATCCATGTAGAACTCCTCATTCTGAAATGTGCCAAAACGCATAGGCGCATCCAGGCGCCATGTTGTTGTCGCGATGGCCAAAGCTTGTGTTTGCTTCTCCTGCCCTCGTCGTTCTTGTCCCGTGGAAGTTTTACTCGTGGATGGCAACTTGGGTCCTTGTCACACTGCACCAATCACCTGGTCGTGCGGATGTGTAGCTTTCTGTTTATGTTCGGTTTGCATAAACATTTCTGATCGCTTCTGCTGCTGCTTCTTCGCTGCCGTCGCTGCTACCGGTGTAGATGTACTTTAGTTCCAGCAAGTACGTAGATTTTAGAAGTAAGTGCCCCACCAGCCAAGAGCATGCCAAGATGTGCTTGGCTTTTAGCTACAACATCCTAACTTGTTCCTTTCAATGCCGAAGGTCCTGAGCCAAAGCTTTTGCTCGATCTGGCGGTTTCAGGATCATAGCCATAGGAGTACCAGCATGAGCGATTATGAAAAATTGTGAGTATCATGGTAATCACCATCATCATCAGCAGTTCCAGTACAGAAAGTGGCTTCCAAATTGGAGAAAGGACTGCGAGTTCTTGATCCTTCCCCAGGCAGAGGTCCGGCTAAAATGGAGCCGCCTTTCCTCAGGTCGGAGAAGAAGTGCTGGGAGATGCTCCGGTCGGGGCGATTGCCAACAGAGATGCTTGGAAGTCGCTGGCTTAGCTTTCGGCTTTAAATGCCCTGTGTTTTGGTGTGGGGTTGTTCTGGGGCGACTGAGTGGATGACAGGGTGCTATGGCTTCCGTGGACATTTCCCAATTCTGAAGCAAATAGCGCATACATCACCACACGGAGTATGCCCACCTGCAGCTTTGCACTTACTGCCTACAAGTAGGCTTCAGGCCAAGAGCTACCCTGGAGCCCCAAACCTTTGCATGTAAATGCCCTGCCTGCAGAGTTCATTCAATTCACTTTGCTATTTGTTTTTCCGTGGGGGCTGGTTGAAAGGCGGAGTTTCATCGATTCGCATGAAGCGGTATGAGCATTTCTTTGGGAGGCCCGCGATAGATGCTTTCGGTGTCTAGTGTAGTGCAAGTTTTCTTGAGATCCTTAGGGCCTGTCAGACTCATGTCGCCCGCCGGGATGCATTCGGCTGAGGATAGCAGGACTTGCTGCGGCAAGGGGGCAGGTAGTCACAGCAACGAAAGTAAGACCTGCAATCCCATCTGAAGCTCGATTGCAGGAGGCAGATCTCTGCAGTTTCAGAAGGGGTACTGCTTCCCGACACAATCAGAACATCCGACAGAACCATGGGTTCGTGGCGGATCAAATCCGGGCATCCAAGGCTGTTCGGCAGGTCTTGAGAAAAGGCTCGCGCGAAGGTGTGTAGGCAGGGCACGAACCAGGACCAGCGGAAACCTTCGAAGAACGAAGCTAGTCTCTTCGCCATGTGCGCCGACGCTGATGCAGCAGATTCGAGCTTGGCGAAAGCAGCCTGCCGCGGAGTCCTCGCCGACCTTTGCGGGAGTCTGGGTCTCGTTGATCTGTTTCCTGTTGAATCAGGAGTGTTGGGACCATGAGGGGACCATACCGCGACCAGAAGTCAACATTAAGCAGAATACATTTAAAACAACAAACGAGTACAAAAGCAAGCCGAGCCGGGATAACACGCCGACTTAGGAGAGGAATTGTAAAGCTTGATCTGAGATCTCCTTCTCAACCCCACATGCCAACGTCTAGCGGAATCCGAAACCTTACCTTCGGAGTCAAAACCGTCAAAACCCTAGAGGAGGGAGCCACAATCTTTCCGTCCAATGCCTGAACCCAGTGTTCGGGCCAGCGACTTTCTGTTGCCATGGTTTTGCCATGCCATTTATACCACGTCTTTTATGTTCGGGATGAGCTGCGGCGGTTTCATCCGTAAGTAGAGGCAGGGGAAATCATCGGACGTGGTAAATCAGGGGGCCTGAGTGTGAGAGCGCAAATCAAGGAGCTGAGGTGGGTGTCTATCCACACTCCGGAGACGTAAAGACTGTTGAATAGAGCTTCAGCCCTACAACATGGAGCCTGGAGTGTCTGAGCCGAACAGAGCCTCAAAGCCTTCATCCACAAAAAGAGATAAGCCGAAGATCTGAGGCCCCAGGGAGCTTCTGGGATGACTCCGGGAGTGCGAGCAGCTCTGGTTTACAGTTATTTTGGGAGCTCAGGGTTTAAGCGATTCACTTTCCGGTGGTTCTTGCAGCAGCTTTGGTGGTTTAATGACAAAAGCATGAACCATCAGTTCCGATTTTCAAGAACAGCATGTTTTGGTATACGTATATGCATGTAAGTGTAAAGACGTCTATGTCTGCATCGACATTCAAATCAAAACCGGTGGCTGTAACAGCATATATACCTATACCGCCCAAACCTTGTCTGACTTGTCGAGCGCGAGTGGCAAAAACACACCCAGAACATACTTATGCCGTGTCTTATCTCCTTACCAATATGTGTGTCGTCGTGTATACCTGTGCCTGTATCTGAAGCTGCAACTACAGCCTCATCTATATCTGCATCCACGTCTACATGCAAACTTTTTCCAGTGCATCCATCCGCCCATCCACCCATCCATCCCTCCATCCATCATCATCATCCATCCACCCATCCATCCATCCACTCCTTGTAGATGTCCACATGCACTTACATACATATACTGATAATCGTACATGAAGCATGGTTTAGCACAACTGCCGCTTGGTCCAGGAAAACGGCGTAGGCTCTAAAAGAGTCAAGAGCAGGATGCAAGACGGCACTACAACTGCCCATTATCATCCGGGAAAGATGAAAAGATGAGATCATGATAAAACGTCCCATAGCGTCATTGAATGCCTATGTTTATGTATTATGTATATACAAGTATAGGTGGACTGCTGTGTCTGCTGCACGGGTACACTGCTTCGCTTGCATAAGATGGGTTCGCGGCACTGCGAGAGGTTTACGCTTTAAGATAAGCCTGGGCCTGGACTGTTATACATGGTAGCTGGTGACTAAAGGGGGTCTGCCTGGGGACTCACGGCTTATATCTGGTGCAAGACTGTGGGTCAGAAGTGTGAGCGTGTGGAATGTAATTTATCTGTGAGCTGTAGTGGTCTGCTGAATGGTCGCTGTGGAATGTCTTGCGAGAGTATTGTGTCTTGCCTGTGAAGTCCTGAAACCTCGCCTGACTTCGTCGAGCGCGACTGCTAAAAAGTATACGAATATAGGACATGTACATGCTCACAGACATTCGCATACAAACCGCGTTTGTTCTTTCGAAGAGTGTGCGTGTGTGTGTGTGTGTGTGTGTGTGTGTGTGTGTGTTTCTGGGCCATGCATAACATGCAGACAAGACTATCCGATTTGTTCAGACACAAGACTGTTTTACAGAGTCCTCTTTCGGAACATTCGTGCAGAGTTCCCTGCGCCGTCGCGCCTCCGACCTGGCAGAGGACGATTTGCAGCAATTTTCTGTTTGTTGTGTATCGCTCAGGTACCAAGCTCGGCGCGGCAAAGCTTACGGAGCTCTTCTCCAGCTCTCGGGCGTTGCTGTTTTCGCAGAAGCTGGAGGACCTTCGGACTGGTGCATGTGCATGATTTCAATAGTCTTTGACAGGCCCTTTAGGTTGCATTCAGCAAGTTGAGCATAAGCACGGGGCGGCACTTTTGCATGGATGCTCGTTGAGGACTTCCAACACCCCAAAGTTCCAAGTGCCGGCCCCCTTGCAAGGATGGCTTTCGAGACGCCTTGGGCCATCCATCACAGGTGTGGAGCTTTGGCTTTGTAGCTGCGGGATTTCGTGGAGAATGGGACCTGCCGAGCTTTGAAAGTATTCGAAGGAGAGTCATCGCAGAGAGCCATGCTATGCAGGTCAATACCGAACAATGCATAGCCCCACACATCGCAACACGACATGTTTGACTTCCTACCGTGCGGCAAAGAATATTGCCTGCGTGCTGGAGTCTGCTAGAGGATGTAGATCACTCCTGGTGCCTTTCGTTTGAAAGATGAAGCAGGTAAAGTGCAGCGCATAAAGTGTCGCCGGACTGGATACAGTTTGCCAGACAGTTTGTCAGAACATCAACACAGCAGTAGGCAGCACTTCTTAGAAGAATGTCAGCATACCGCAGCATACTGTGCCACTCGGTAACATGTCATAGAGCAGCCCGGTACAACGTAAGATAACACAGAAATTGCCTCTCACACAACCGTCTTATATGGCCCAGCATGTATAAGACGCATTGGGTGCTCTCTTGTCATGTCGCTGCGTGTAATTATGCCGTTTCAGGCTACACGATCGCCGCTGTCCGCGTCGACCTGCATCGTGGTCGTGGACCGCAGGGAGGATGCCGATCTGGTGACTTCCCATGCTTGGAGTTCAGCCTTCACGCTTTAAGGATCAGGGTGTACTATCGCTGTTTGAGTAGGCCTGCAAAATTTTTGGTCGTCTAAGCACAAAATCCGGGTTTTTGTGAGGCAAGCGTAATGAGAGAAGGGTGGGACTAAGGGTTGCAGTAAAGGTCTTGAGGCCTTGTCAGGCTTGAGAGTTCTTCCCGAGCTTGTGAGCAGTAGCGGTGCTAGCAGTAGTGGTGGCAGCGCTAGTAGTAGATTGTCCGAATGGTTTTACATGTAGTCAGGTGTTTGTGCTTGTTTTCGTAGCAGTGTTTAGAGGTAGCAGCGTTGGAGTGGATAATGGGTGTAACCGTATACCACGGTAGCCAGAGTGTGCCAGACTGCAAAGGTGGAGTTCCTTGAGCTGCTCGGCCTGGTCGCAGCCGACTTTCAACCACCGCTAGTCTTCAGAGTTTAGGGCGTCATCGGTGCTCAGCAATGATCTTATGGGGGCCTGCCGTTCTGTTTGCTTCTTTGGTTGCCGGGTTTCCATCTCGTGCCACTGTTTCGATCGCAGGAAGGTGCACAAGAAGTTGGCTCGCACCAGCGATGCAGCAACACGCGTCATGGTGTCCGCCTTCCAAGTCTCCGAGATCCTGGGCCGCTCAGGCTACCACGCGTCGACGGTGTCGCAGCGCTGCGAGCGGCTGGTATCCGATAGGGGTGACCCAGCGACGGGCACGGTCCTTCTCGGTCACTTGCTGCACGAGGTGCGCGAGGGAAGCAAGACGAAGCAGCCGGGGGCGGGCACCTCGCGAATGCGTGCAGTGCTTTTCAAGGCAGTTGCCGACTGGCTGTCCGTGGCCCCGTGCTCGCTTCACCGCGAGGAAGCTGCGGCGCGTGGCACTGCCGGGGTGACGTGGAACTCTGTCCAGGTTGATGGGGACAGCTATTTGGTGGACATCATGTTCGAGCCTGGGGCGCTGTACGAAGATGGTTCGGGCAAGGCTTGCGAATACTTGCGGCGGCTTCGGCAAGAGTGCGAGGAAGCTGCGGCGCCTTCCAAGTCCAAAACCAGAAAGGCAGAGAGTGCGGCACCCTCGCTCCAGCAGAACCTGGGCGGCCGCATGCTGCGGCCTTCCTGGCACGTGGAGCCTTGGGAGGTAGAGTTTGACCGAAGGGACCGAGCTGGGCGTGGCGGTTTTGGCGAAGTTTTCCAAGGCACTTGGGCAGGCCAACAGGTGGCCGTGAAGGAGGTCCGCGATGCAAGCCCCACAGACGCCGACGTCTGTGACTTCGTGCTGGAGATTTCTCTCCTCTCTCGGCTATCGCATCCTAACATCGTACGCTTCTGGAGAGGCTG